TTGGTTTATCATATCTTGTTTTCTGGTTGCCAACCTTTGCCGGTCTTGTTTATTCTTGCTACTTAATAAATTTGATAAGGACCGTTGGTGTGTGTCAATGTCCTCGGAAATCCGGAGCTGGGGCAGAACAGTTGTGGCCAAAAACGGAGCCTCCATCATGACTGAAAACGGAGCCTCGGTAAGTGGTGGTGAGCTGGCCAAGCTCACCCTTGGCCACGCCCACCCCGGCCCCCTGAGGTCAAACACAACTTTGATGTGGTCCTCAATGAAATTGAGTTTGACACCCTTGCCCTAGTCTATACTGTTACAAGCTTAGCTTCTGTTTGCTAAGAAATAAAATGTGTTTTATTTATGCATACTTCTACGGGCTCAGGATATTTTTGAAGTAATAAAAGCTCCTGAAGACTGAAAATATTGTCACCAAATAGATCAAAGATGCCAAAGAAGAAGCAATCAGCTGAGGGTGTGAACTCTGAGCTGTGTTTTAATTTAAGCCATAAGTGTTTAATATCCGGTTCCAACTCATGTTAATTAAATTAAGTTTTTAAGCACAACGGACACTGTCATCATTAACTCTAGCCAGCAATTTAGAATTGGCAAACCATTAATGGGGCCTCACCTGCGATGCCCTCTTTAATTCATACATTGGCACTTGGGAAGTTCAGTTTTGATGAATTGTGACACAAAATGGCTTCATTGGCAGCAGCGGGGTAGTTAGGAGTGGGCCTGATGTGGGCACAGCCACTGCGGTTTTGTAATACAGAAATGGGGGAATATATATATATATATATATATATATATATATATATATATATATATTAACAGCCTCAAATTTAATAGCATTTTAAAGCTGAAAGATGAATTTATGTAGCTGCTGGAAAGACACTTCCAGGCAATTTCATGCACCGTGGTGCCTTTAAATAAATTTAGACGGGGTTAAAAGGGCTTAAGGAGCCCTCCTATTTCTTTTGTATATAATTCTTTTATTGAGTTTTGTTATAAAAGAAAAATACAGAAAAAACCCTCCAAAAGTTAGAAAAGTAAGAGAAAGAAAAAGTGCAATTGGAGAGAAGAAAGAGGTAATTTTTTACTTTTTTTCACTCCAGTAAAACACCAAAATTACAACCTTGCTCAGCGTTTTGCAACATTTCAAACCATTTCCGTAATAACAAAAATCATCCAAATCATCCAAACCTAAAACCGACGTTTCATTTTTTTTTCAGTTTCGAGCAAAAAGTCCAGAAGTGGTTTCTGAGTAGAAACCAAACTAGATGAATTCTTCTCTTTAGTTAAAAGAAGTTAGTTTTGCCATCTCCACCGGCTCTCTTATCACTTTTACCATCTACTCTTCCATTGTAGGAATTAATGGCTCTTTCCATCTTGTGCATATAAGATTCTTTCCACTGTCCGCATATATAATAACAAGCTTCTAAGTTTTCTTTTACGTTCCTTGCCTACCAAACTGGAGCCCTCCTGTTTCAAAGAGGATGCATTTGATTTCAGGTTTTGAAAAACGAGCAAAATCCAATCAGCCTACTTTGTTTCCGGTCATTGATTGATTGATTGATTGATTGATTGATTGATTGAATTTATATACCACCCTACTCCCGAAGGACTCAGGGCGGTGAACAGCCAAAAGATAAAATACATATAATACAAATGTTAAAAAATCATTAAAATACAATTAAATAATTTGGCCCAGAAAACAAAATTTAAAAACCCCAATTATAAGATTCATTATTATTCAATTATTATTCATTCATAGAGCATGACTTTGGATGTGAGACATTGGTGTTCTTCAAGCTTGGTTATTTCCTTGCAGACGTTTTATTACCCAACTAGGTAATGTCATCAGTGCTAGAAGGAAGTGGGGCTCTCTCTTGGTTTATGAACCAGTATTGGTGGGAGTGTTCTTGGTAGTTCCTCAGTTAAGCTGTTGTTGACCCCACCATTAAACCCTGAACGGCAAATAATATCTTCTATTGGTAAAACATTAACATGGTTAGCAGTTAAGTGTTAGGCTAAGTATTACTCCTCCTGATGTCCAGTTACTAAGGATTCCCCACCCCCGCCATTCTACCCATATTGTGCCCAAACACTCTGCAATCTTGGAAGCTACCATGCTTCCTAATACAAAAAAGGCTCAAGGAAGGAATTTTACCAAAGCATTGGTAGAATAGAATAGAATAGAATAGAATAGAATAGAATAGAATAGAATAGAATAGAATGGAATGGAATGGAATGGAATGGAATGGAATGGAATGGAGTGGAGTGGAGTGGAGTGGAGTGGAGTGGAATGGAATGGAATGGAATGGAATGGAATGGAATGGAATAGAATAGAATAGAATAGAATAGAATAGAATAGAATAGAATAGAAACAGAGTTGGAAGGGACCTTGGAGGTCTTCTAGTCCAAGCCCCTGCTTAGGCAGGAAACCCTACACCACTTCAGACAAATGGTTATCCAACCTCTTCTTAAAAACTTCCAGTGTTGGAGCATTCACAACTTCTGGAGGCAAGTTGTTCCACTGATTAAATGTTCTAACTGTCAGGAAATTTCTCCTAAGTTGCTTCTCTCCTTGATTAGTTTCCACCCATTCCTTCTTGTCCTGCCCTCAGGTGCTTTGGAAAATAGCTTGACTCCCTCTTCTTTGTGGCAGCCCCTGAGATATTGGAACGCTGCTATCCTGACTCCCCTAGTCCTTTTCATCAGACTAGACATACCCAATTCCTGCAACCGTTCTTTATATGTGTTATCCTCTGGTCCCCTAATCATCTTCGTTGCTCTTCTCTGCACTCTTTCTAGAGTCTCCACATCATTTTTACATCGTGGTGACCAAAGCTGAATACAGTATTCCAAGTGTGGCCTTACCAAGGCATTATAAAGTGGTATTAGCACTTCATGTGATCTTGATTCTATCTCTCTGTTTATGCAGCCTAGAACTGTGTTGACTTAGCAGCAGCTGCTCTTAGCTCTTAGCTGATTTCACGTGACAACTAATGGGTCAACTTGCATTGGTTACTTAGGAAAACATATAAAGAACAGTTGCAGGAACTGGGTATGTCTAGTTTAATGAAAAGAAGGACTAGGGGAGACATGATAGCAGTGTTCCAATATCTCAGGGGCTGCCACAAAGAAAAGGAGTCAAGCTATTCTCCAAAGCTCCTGAAGGTAGGACAAGAAAGAATGGATGGAAACTAATCAAGAAGAGAAGCAACCTGGAACTAGGGAGAAATTTCCTGGCAGTCTGGAAATTAATCAGTGGAATGACTTGTATCCATTTGTCTGAAATGATATAGGGATTCCTGCTTGAACAGGGGGTTGGATGAGAAGACCTCCAAGATCCCTTCCAACTCTGTTATTCTATTATTCTATTAACTTATAGATATCTGCTGGCTGCAGGAGAGAAGTAAATGACATTGTGAGTCACAATGCTGTCAGGCAAATGATGAAAATTTTGTATTCGGTATCAGACAGCGTGCAGTTGATGGAGATTACTTAATTATTTATGCAATGACATTACAATGAATTTCTCATCATTTTGATATCATTGGACACTTATGGCTGCATCTGATTCGTTTTTGATGTATTTTCTGGGGGGAAAAAATCCTTCTTTCAAATTGATTGCGTACTTTTTCTCAAAATGTGAAGTATTTTTCAAAAGACAGTATTTATTTTCTGGCTGCGTGTGGCACCATTGGGGAAGCATTTGGAAGAGTTGATTGCTGGAGATGGCTTGTGAAGTAATGCCTTTAATGTATTTTTTGTTCCTTGCTAAAGTTCATCAGGTGAATCAGTGCAGGAATATGGCACATTGTGAAGTACAGATAGTCCTCAATCCAGTGGTGAAATGTAAAATTTGTTACTACCGGTTCTGTGGGCGTGGCTTGGTGGGGGGGGTTAATGTGACTGAGTGGGTGTGGCCAACTTTTTTTTTTTAACTTTTAAAACCATTTTTCTATAACCTCTTCGGCCGAAGAGGTTGTAAAAAAATGCTTTTAAAAGCCTCTGACGATCCCAGCTGAGTTGCCTGATCGTCAGAGGCTTTTTTTTTTCCCTTTAGAAACATTTTTTTGGCCGAAGAGGTTGTAGAAAAAATGCTTTTAAAAATAATTTTTAAAAAGCTCTGATGATCGCGCGGCTCAACTGGACATGGGGGGGGGGTGGCCAGGGATTTTTGCTACCGGTTCTCCGAACCACCTGCCGCCATCGCTACCAGATTGGGTGATCCGGTCTGAACCGGGAGCATTTCACCCCTGCTTCAACCTGACTAGTGCTCCTGGTTCCTGTAGTCTGCAATTTTTTCTTGTAGTCCATTCTGCCTCCAGAAAAAGCACCTTTGGGACAACCATGACCTGGATGACTGAGAATCTCTACAGAATTTTAGCTACACAATTTGGGATGAACACCCTTTGGATGGTGTGGGAGTAGGAACGGATTTCCAGAGGGGAAAAAAATGCAGACTACAGGTGACCCCGAGGACACAGATCAACCTCCAAGTGCTTCAATGACCCTCTAAAAGGATGCAAATGACCAGCTGTCTGCAAGGAATATAAATCCTTCCAGTCCCTTTCATTTTTAATTACAGCATATTTCTCATCATTCATACCAATTTTCTGATTTTTATACTTTAATAAATTCTTTCTTTACTTTCTAGTCTTTCTATCTTCCCCCCCTATTTTTCTTCTTCATTTTTCCTATCCTCCAGCCACTTATACCATTTATGCCAAATTATATAATATTCCGTATCCTCCTTTTCTTTAAGTTATTTTGTTAATTTATCCATTTCGGCACATTTCAACATTTTTTTTATCAATTCTTCATCTGTTGGTATATTTTCTTTTTTCCAATTTTGGGCATAAACTGTACGGGCGGCTGTTATAATGTGTAATATCAAGTATTTTAATACTTGGCATCACTTGTTATTTCTAATATGCCGTGCTTTGGGTTCTAGAGATGAATGAGAATGTGAGAATCCTTTCCTGTCTTTCTACCATTAGGGAGAAGATGCCATTCCATCATGTCACGGCTGGGCTGCTGTACAAGGGAAACTATCTGAACCGGTCCCTCTCAGCAGGAAGCGACAGTGAACAGTTGGCCAACATCTCAGTGGAAGAATTGGATGGTAAGGATTGACTAAACTGTTGGTAGGGAGGAACATAGGGTTCTGTTTTTATTTATTCTTTCAAATAATTAGTTAAGTCTTACAAACTTAAAAACTAAGATATGAACAGTGGTGGGATTCAGCCGGTTCTGTCCGGTTCGGGCAAATCGGTAGCGGCGATTCCGGTAGGCCCCATCCACCTGCCCAGACGTAATGTCGTCCTATTTCGTCACATTTTGGAGGGCGTGCACACGCTCAGAAGGCATGCACACTAGCAAAGACTATGTGCGGAAGGCCGAGCATGCATGGAAGATGGAACATGTGCTCACATTTGCGAACCGGTAGGGAAGGTAAGTGAATCCCACCTCTAGATATGAAGGACTCAAGCTTAGGGTATGGTGACATGAAATTCAACATCCCTGTTGAATAGTTTTGGGAATCTACTTTTTAGAAATGATTTTTTTAAAAAAAAAAAGTTAGATGACTCAAGGCGCTATCCAAAATTAATTACATATGCACATGGGAGCTTGAATTCCTTTATGAGAAAAAGCTGTTCAATAGACACATAGAGATAATGAATCAAGAGACACATAGAGTTAAATCATAGAGATAAATCAACTGCAATAGACGTAAAGAGATAGACAGAAGATAGATAGAATTATTTATTGGCCAAGTGTGATTAGACACACAAGGAATTTGTTTCTGGTGCATCTCAATGTACATACAACAATAGCAATAAGCAACAAAGTTATAATCATAAGATAAGGAGATAGGTAATAGGAATGATGAGAATAATGATGATTATACTGTCTTTTTAGATAGTTGACAGTGTTGTAGGAATTAGTTGTTTAGCAGAGTGATGGTATGGGGGAAAAAACTGTCCTTGTTTTGTCTACTTGTTCTGATGTGCAGTGCCCTGTAGTATCATTTTGAGGGTAGCAGTGGAAATGTCCAGAATGCGAGGAGTCTGTAGATATTTTCACAGCCCTCTTTTTGACTTGTGCAGTATACAGGACCTCAATGGAAGGTAGAGTGGTAGCAATTTTTTTCCCATGAATTTCTAATTATCCGTTGAAGTTTGTGTTTGCCTTGATTGGTTGCAGTGCCAAACCAGACACTTATAGAGGTACATATGACAGACTGAATAATTCCTCTGTAGAACTGTATCAGCAGCCCCTTGGGCAGCCTGAGCTTTCTGAGTTGGCTTAAAGACAGTGGTAGGTTTCAAAATTTTTTACTACCGGTTCTGTGGGTGTGGCTTGGTGGGCGTGGCATGGCTTGGTGGGCGTGGCTTGGTGGGAGTGGCAGGGAAGGATACTGTAAAATCTCCATTCTCTCCCCAATCCAGGGGAAGGTTCCTGCAAAATCCCCATTTCCTCCCGATCAACTGGGACTCAGAAGGCAGACAATAGATGGGGGCGGGGCCAGTCAGAGGTGGTATTTACTGGTTCTCTGAACTACTCAATTTTTCCACTACTGGTTCTCCAGAATTGGTCAGAACCTGCTTAAACCCAACTCTGCTTAAAGAGATATCCCATAGAGATAAACCAGTCATCAGTAGTTCACATTTATACACCATTGAAAAGAGACAGTAAAAATGCTAAGAAAGCAACCGCCTTCTGCCGATGATAGCCTCCCACCAGCCAGTTTGCTCCCACAGAGAGGGACTCCTCAGGGTGCCGTCAGCCAGGCAATGTCGGCTGGCGATCCTCATGGGGAGGGCCTTCTCTGTGGCAGTTCCTGCCCTCTGGAATGACCTGCCCCCGGAGATACGTAGGATACCAGATCTCCATGCTTTTCGCCGTGCCCTTAAAACTTTTCTATTTCATCAAGCTGGGCTGGCGCAATCCCCCACCCCTTAGATATTTTTAATTGTAAATGAATTTTAGTCGGGAGGTTTTAAATTTTGGGCCAAAATTTGTTTAATTCTTTTAAAATTTAAAGTTTTGTATTGGGATTTTTTTATTCTAGGCTGTGCACCGCCCTGAGTCCAGTAGGAGAAGGGTGGTATAAAAATTTAATAAAATAAATAAATAAACAAACAAAAAGTCCAGAACACATTATCTCCAGCAAACAACACCCAGATAAGATAGGTTTAACACCAGACAAATCCAGGTAGAAAACAATACCCTAATCAGGGAACTACCAAGAAGAAAAACCCCAGAAACACAGACAGGCCAAGCTAATATATATAAACAGGGAGGAAGTCCCACATCCATTAACACTAATGCTGTTATCTAGTTGGGTAATGAAATGTCTTTAAGCAAACAACCAAGCTCAGAGAGTACCAAGGACTTCATAGTTAATCCCTGAGCTACATATATTCCCTTCTGAGGATGATGTTATCCAATGAGTTGTATCTGACTCTTGGCAATTCTATGGACCAGTCTCTCCACATCTTCTGATTTTGCACTACTTCTCTTGAGTTTTTCTATGCTCTGGCTGGTATCATTTTTGATGGTGTCCATCCATTGGGTTTTTTTTTTTTTTTTGGCAGCCTGGTTTCCTTTTACCACTAATTCTTCCAAACATAATTGTTTTCTCCAGTGAATTCCCCCACATAAAATGGCCAAAATAAGAGAGATGTGGTTTTGTGATTTTATATTTCCTTTTATTGGAATCTAATATTAGTTACTGAGGTTTAAACTATGTTTAGGATTTTTATTGTTGTTGTTGTTGTTATATACACAAAAATGAGAGTATTCACAGCAAACGAGATGACCATGCTGGATTTCGTATCCCAAATCACTAGTCGAACACTTCCCAAGCGTTTAGGACTCCGTGATGTATTGGCGGATTATGCGAGCAGATCCCAGTAAAGTGGCCTTCTGCAGCTGACCAGTGGCGATCTTGTCAGTGCCAATTGTTTTTAAGTGCTTGCCTAGGTCTTTAGGCACCCAGTGTGCCGAGTACCACTGGGACCACCTGCACTGGATGATGATGATGATGATGATGATGATGATGATGATGATGATCATTTAATCTTTAGTGAGATTCACAGCCTTTGAGGCTGGTTAATAGCTCAGCAGCTCGAGTCCTAACCAAGGACCTAGGAACTGTTAAGGTATCGTTGGAGGATGTAAGCTGTTCCGAGTAAGGTGGTGTTTTGTAGAATCAAAATGTTCAAGTCCGGCAAATTTAGAATTTCTAAATAGCGGGGTAGCCCTTTGGGTATTGCTCCAAGGGCTCCAATCATCATCATCATCATCATTACTACTACTACTACTACTACTACTTCATTTTTCTGGAAATCAGATATACAAGAGGGCAAAGTCAAGAATTAAACCCACTGCAGTGAAGGAAAACTGGAGAGAATATTCATGGGGACTGAATTCACCTTATCTATATATCAGTTGCACAGAATTTTCAGGATTTACTGAAGTCAAAAACAAAGGTGAATTTGGTAACATCCTGAACATCCAGGTCCTTTTATTGGAACAGCAAATACTTCCTTAGTACCATGCTTGCATATAATTTATGAAACCAAAGAAGCCTGCTTCTGATTCAAAAGCTATCAGTTCCAAAATATATAGGATAGAAAGGGGATGGATGGATGGATGGATGGATGGATGGATGGATGGATGGAGGGAGGAAGGAGAGAGAGAGAACAAGAAGAGAGAGAGAGAGTGAAGAAAGGAAGCAAGGAAGGAAGCAAGGAAGGAAAGAGGAAGGAAGGAAGGAAGGAAAGAAAGAAAGGGAAGGAGGGAGTAGAAGGAAGGAAGGAAGGAAAGAGACAGAGACAGACAGAGACAGAGAAAAGGGAGAGAGAAGAAAGGAAGGAAGGAAGAAAGAGAAGGAAAGAAACAAGGAAAAAAAGAAAGAAGGAAGGAAGGAAAGAAAGAAAGAAAGGGAGGAGGAAGGAAGGAGAGAGAGAGAGAGACAGAGAAGAGAGAGAGAGGAAGGTAGGAAGGAAGAAAGAAAGAAAGAAGAAAGAAAAAAGAAGGAAAGGGAAGGAAGGAAGGAAGGAAGGAAGGAAGGAAGGAAGGAAGGAAGGAAGGAAGGATAACTACAATCAGGGATTTTGATATCACAATAATAATATTGATCATACTTAGAGACGCTTCCTTGGTATCAAGGGGACATAGCTATCATTAATGTAAGAGCCCTTGATTTCCCTGGGTCTATTTGAAGCATAATTAACTCCATGACTAAGTTCAATTTTGATTAGCTTTTGTGTGTTCTGGAATAATGTCTACTTAAAAATGTGTATCTGCATAGAATTGCCACCTTTCCATTGACATTTTTGAAGTGGAATGCTTTGTTAAAATTATTTGAGAGTCACGGAGTTGCTATACTCACTTTTTCCATGACATGCACAATCCTTTACACACCACCTACGTACCCACATTGGATTTTTATTATTCCCTTTTTCCAATATTTTTTTTATTTTTCCAGTATTCCCTTTGGAATATTGGCTGCTCTCTTCAGCCCTGCCTTATTGCTGCAATCAAAGAATAGCTCATGGTCTGACCCCAGCCTCCACTTTCCAATTCCTTGACAATCTGGGACCACTTTGTCCAAATTTAATTTACAAAAAGCCAATTTCTTCAGTGCATTAAGATTTGGGGGAAGGGATGCTTGCAAAGACAGAATGGATCGGAGCATTACAGTTTAAGCCTCCAAAGCTGATATTTAAAATGGCTGAATCATCTCCCACATTATTCCAAATTAGTGCAATTCTGGGGGGAAAAAAAACAACTCCATCCCCAGAACATGCCTCCAGTGGCCCTTAGAGACATAAATTCAGAGACACATATGTACAGGTAGTCCATAAAAGGCAAAAGATAAATGTTCCCCTCACACATATGTGCTAGTCATTCCCAACTCTAGGGGGCGGTGCTCATCTCCGTTTCAAAGCCGAAGAGCCAGCGCTGTCCTAAGACGTCTCCGTGGTCATGTGGCCGGCACGACTAAATGCCAAAGGCACACAGAACGCTGCTACCTTCCCACCAAAGGTAGCCTCTATTTTTCTACTTCCATTTTTTACGTGCTTTCGAACTGCTAGGCTGGCAGAAGCTGGG